CTTTTTATAAAAAATTTGCATTTGAAGCCCCTCAATTTGCATTTTCTCCAATCCAGGATTAAATTAGTTCCCCCCCCACCCACAGTGAAATAAGTCTGGCTTTAATTTAAATTGCTATGTGAATACAATTTTCCAGGCAGGTAAACACAAAATAATTTTCACAGCATGTTCTTTCTCAGGGTCTTTGACGTGTGTATGTTGTGAGAGAAGTTGTTAATAAATTTGAATTTCAGAAGTAGTGAAAGAGAATATCCTTTTAACTATTCATTGCAAAATGCGATGCAACAGTTAGACGGATGAGAACATGATCAGAGATATAATTGTGGCCGTCAAGCCCGTTCTGAAGAGACAGACTCTTTTTAGAGCAGTTTATTTTTCCATAATTAAAATTGTGGCTGTGTGATTTGGAAATTAGCCCTCTGTGTCAATAGGGAAGCGATGGATTTAGTCAGCTGGTGTTGCGGCTGCTAAAGTTCCTTATAACCGCTTGCCTGAAAAACCAAAATATACTTGAAGGCCTATCCAGAGTGGTGCCAGTCATTCATAGTGAACGTCTCCAGTCTGATGAAACTCTGCTAGCTTCAATTTTCAGTAGCTTTTATTTGAAGAGAGGTTTACTGCAGGCTGCAGACCTCTTAATGAACTTGCAGCATAGCGTAAAGAAAACTTAAACGATGGTTTGTGAAAACTTTGGCCAGATTGTGTTTTGTGGGGAATCTACCTACAAAAAGACAGCTTGGGCAAAATTTTGGCTTGAATTTGGCGTTTCGTCAACTCTGAACTTCTAAATTGACTTCCAAGGTATTATAAAGAGCTGGGAATTATTTTTGGACGAATAGTTTGTCAAAGAAACAGAAAATGTTCTTGCAAGAGGAAAAAGGGAGAGGGTTGAGAGGCAAAGCAAACAAAAAGAGAAAAGATTTTTTTTTAAATGGCAAAGCATTTGCTTTTATCATTTGCGGAGCGGAACACTGAGCTATTCTGATTTGAGTTTCTCAGAATGGAGACTGTAACTGAAAAGTTTAAAAATGTGCCTACATTTTAGATGTTTCTATTAATCCAGGCATGAAATGGAACATTTTATTTTGCATAGGGCAAAGGCCAAGAGAAATACAAAATTATTCAGGTTTTCCTTTTTTTTGAAAAGAAAGAAAATACAGGTTTTTATTTGCTCCTTTTTCTGTTCTGTTTTGCTATTTGGCTTCAGAATTGAAATCTCTTTACTGAGAGTGATTTTCAGATGCTGTTATACAAAGTAAATAGGAGGTTTTGGTGGAGATGTCTTTGCCACGTAGGTTTTAATTCTGGATCTGGAAATGTTTTCTGTACTGTGCTGCGCTTGGTCACAAACAGCTGCTTATCACTGCCGTCAGTTTTTCCTGGTGCCCATTTCTGTGTCTTCTCATAATCCCTGTCTTCACCCTTGTCGGTACTTCCCTGTAAGCCCCATTTCCCTGTGTTATGTATACTGGTACGTCTTCACTTCTTCAGCCAGCCCCAGGATATTCACTGCAAAATGCTGTGCCCATGTACTTCCCAATTCCTTGTGCCATCTGTTTGATTTTTGTAGTTCTTAATTACAATGCCTGTTACTGGCTGGAAACTGAGCAGATGCCGTACCCTTGCAGGTCTGTTCCCAGCCGTCAGGTTACTGGTAGGGACAGTTAGTAGTATCATTCTTTTTAGCAAATCGTGCTTTAAGATCTGTTCCTGTGGCTGCTCTCCTGTGCTCATCTGTTTGTTTTTTTGTTTTTTCTCCCTTTTTGAAGTTAGGAACCAGACATATTTTGGAAACTATGCAGGCTGCAGGGCATCATATCAACACGCTGTTTCTGTGTGGTGGGCTGAGCAAGAACCCTCTCTTTGTGCAGATGCACGCTGACATTACTGGTAAGTTAGAGGACGTGTGGGGAAAGGAGTGTAAACTACTTTATTTTAGGTGGCTAAATATTTTGTCTTTGGAAAAATAAATACTTTCTTTATATAGAACTGTATTTTGCTGGTTGGCCAAAAAGCGTGTAATGAAATGTTACTTCCTGCAAGACTGAATTTCCTGAAATTTAAAGACATTTGAATAACACAGAGATGCGGTGCAAACAAAGCTCCATACTTCGTATTGTTAGAAAGCAGACTTCAGGAGAAACCTTCAGCACGATTTCCAATCTGTGGATCTTAGACTTAGAGGTTTTTTAAGAAAGTGCAATAGAATAAATATAAACCCAATATGTATAAATTACATGTCAGAGATGTTTCTGATTGTCAGATTTTTAAAAATTATTTGAAGCATTCTATAGAAATTATTCCATTCAGTCAGAAGACATTAGTTAGATGAGGATAATGCCCGCTATATTTTGTGAGCATGGTTTGCATGAGATGTGTTTTCCTAAAACCTCTATTAGCTTCATCCTATTTGAATTCTGTTGGACTTCCGACACTTCCTGCTCATGCTGGGCATTGTATCCCTTGTATAGAATAATTCTTTTCTGAATTGCTTCCATGTCTGTATCATTAATATGGTTTAGGGGACAATTTCTGGATCTTTGCTCCTGCATGGTGTTGCATTTGGTTTTGTAGAATCCCTGATGGGTGGAAGGTCTTGGGTATGTGGTTCATTACAAGAGGAGGTCTGAGGCTTACGTAGTATTTTTGGTCTCCCTTTAGCCTGTGTGTGTTGGACATCTTAGCACACCTGTGGGTCAGTTGAATATACTTTAAAAAATGTGAGAAAAATAACAAAAATTAGTGTAAAGGACTTCAGAGAAACTTTGAATGATGTGTGTTTTGGGTATATTTCAAATTAAGACCAGTTGAGTTGTCATGAATAAGTTTAAGGCTCAGATTTGGGGCATTTGGTCTGGAGATCTGACTTGCCCTAACATCAAACCACCCTTCATAACTTTGATGCAGGATGGAAGATGAAAATATGCTTTATGTACTTACCTGAGATGAAAACAGAAGTGGAGAAGCAAAAAGCATAATGCCTATTGACCTTAAAATTCACTAAATACATTATAGTCAGAGTGACACTTTCTGTTTGTGAAAAATGATGTTGTCGAGTGCAAGCCTTTCCTTATATAACTCAAATGTTTTAGGTGAATTTCAGCTATGTGTAGAGTTGGGATGCTGGTTCATGATGTGTAAAATAAAAGCTCTGTGAAAAGGTATTCTGATTAAAATGTAATCAGAAGTTATTTGACTGTAACTAATGGCCAAGTACCATTCAGCACAAAAAGGCCTTTTTGCAGTCTGGAGTTCTCCCCCATTTGTAAAATCAGTGACTGACAAAGGATGTCAGAGTTCATCTAACTGAAATGCTCTCGGTTGTGTTGAACTCTTTAGAGCCTATCAGATAAAATAACTAACATTCCAGGATCAATCCTCCATTCTTTCCTGAAAAGAAAAAAATCTGAATTTATTGTTGTTAGTTGCAAATGCCCATGACTCAGCCATGCAGACATCCAATAGATAATTTTGCAGGCCACTTAAAAAGTATCTTGATCTTTTTGTTTGCCTGGTAAGAATTCTGTATTCATTCTGATGATGCGGGAAATGCGCAGTAAATTTTAGAGCATGCTGAAAATTGCTCACTGCTTCAGCTCCTGGCAAACAGCCGTGTAGCTGTAAGCTTGAGTTTTAGATTTTCTGTTCCAAGTTGACCCAAGTCCTGAGCTGTGGTCCATCTGAACTGGAGGAATGCTCGGGTGACTGATCCTACTGTAATGTTTTTAAGGTGGATTTGTTTGGTCAGAGAAATTTAGGGGATGCTGTAATTACACTAGTTAGCTGTTAGTAGTCATTGCAGCGATCAAACAACAGGGTCTCGCTGTATCCACTTTCTTTCCCCGTCACTCTGCCTGTGCTAACTGTAGGAAGAAATGGCATAAAGGCCACTGAGGCACCTTTATGTCATTGAAAGGTGATTGTAAGGAGCTTTACACTGGTGCAACGGTGCAAAGTTAGCATAATGCCTGGGGTGCAAGGTGAATTCGCTTTGTATCAGTAATTGTTTCTGATACTAATAATTTTATTTCTCATTTTGAAAAGTGTATATTTGCCTTTTCCTCTGTAGGAGTTTTTCGTGGCTCACTTTAGATCTTCCTCCAAATTTCAGCTCCTTCTAATCTTACAGTTGGCTCTCAGGAGCAGCATTTTTTTGGGCATAATATCATTGAGGCTATTCACAGAAGGAAGCCCTCCTCCCACCACTGTGTTTGCATCATCATTCATTGAATGAAATTATCTCAGTCATGGAAATTTAGAAACATGCCAAATACTGTAGTAATATTAAATTTGTTGGCTTAGTGAGGATGAACATCTAAAGTGTAGCTAGAGAAGTATTTAGACTTATGCTATTGTTTTAGATTTTTTAAGGAGAATTAAGAAAGCAAGCTGATTTTTATTTGTTTATTACTTCTTTTCCTGCTGTTTTTACATTAATAATACAGGTCTTAGAAAACTTTGTGTGAACTGAGGGAAGGTATGTTCGTGACAGTACCCATGGATGATGGTACAATAATTTTTAATTCTACTTCAGAATATATATTGAGTTTGTTTGTTTGTTTTTCCAGTGTTTTAAACTTGTTTTTTAATATCTTGCACAATTTAGAAGACAAGATTTCTCTTACAATTTCATACATAGCTTGTGAAAGTTTACTACTCATATTTTCATGTCTTCCAGCAAAACCAGACTGGCTTTGTTGGCTATATATTTAAAAACAAACACAAACAATCTTTTTTCTGTTCGTTGCAAAAGAAACAAAAAGGATACCACCCTGTTTTCCCCTCGAGGTCAACTTTTAATAGGCACGTGGGTTTGGAGGGTGTGGGTAACAGGTTTATACCAAGCCCTTTAAGATAAATAGCCACTGTCAAAGATCTTGGGGTTTGTTCTTTGTATGCTTTATGTTCTGCATTAATATTTTGCTTAAATTGTTTTATTTAAATTCTGTATTTTTCTTGGAGCCTGGAACCACAGAGCAGAGAGATTTACATGAATCTACAGTAGACTGTAGCTCTGAATGGAGTTGTGAACACGGTTTTCAAGTCCTTTTTGATTCCTTTTTCCTTTGTATTTTTTGCTTTAATTATTTACTGTGCCGCTAGTGCAGTACTGCTATATTCTTCCTAACAGAGGCATGGCTTTTTCTTGTATAGGCAAGCCTGTTGTCCTGTCCAAAGAAGTGGAGTCTGTTTTGGTGGGTGCTGCTATTCTTGGAGCTTGTGCTTCTGGGGATTTTGCATCTATACAGGTATGCGGTACCTGATTTTTTTTTTTTTTTTCCCAGTTTTAATGAGTTTTACACTTTGACATTTGGCACCATGCACAGACTTTAATTCAAGTGTAAAAGTTTGTACCTTCTGCACAGCCAGACAAGAGCCAGCATCGCTTTCTCTCCACCCTCTTTTTAACTCCATATTTTATTTAGGCGTATTGAAGATTCATTTGTCTTTTGACTGTAGGGACATGCAGGTAGAAGCTGCTGTCTATGAAGTTAGACCATGTAATTTTACAGACAAAAAAAAGGAATTTGGCAAGGCTCTGATCCTGCAAGGAGGTCACACTTTCATCTCAGTTATATTTGTCCTACTTTCCTTCCTCCTTATTGGGGAATGTTAAACATAGCACTATTTATGCAGTAAAAAATGACACACCTATACCCCTTGTCTTGCCCACAGTGAATGCAGAGTTAATAATGAGGATGGAACTTCATGTTTATTCATGTTATTTCCATTAATGGATTTCCATAATCCATTAACAGTTTTAAAAGTAGCAGTAAGGCTTTTATGCTCAGTGGATCAGCCAAAGCATGACTTAGCTTCATTTATATGAACAACAGTAGTATACAGAAACCCGAAGAAGGGTCTGAATGCCCAAAATCATACCTGTTTTTCCACCTGGCAATTCCACTGGCGTAAGATATGCCCTCTCCTCATGCTATGCAAGGACACTAAACAGTACATTGCATCCACTTGGACAAAATTATTTATCAAGATGGTCCCTATGGTGCCTATCAGGCACAGATATTTGTAGATGAAATTTTGCACAAAAACTTAGCAGAATGTATTTTCTGAACAGGGAGTCAGCTTCTAAACCTAGTTAAATTGACACAGTTCCACTGAATCAATGAACAGCTCAACATAAGCTGAGGAACTGGGCCGTATTCGGCATTTTTCCAAATGTGAAATTTCCAAATGTGAATATACTACAGTGCGGTATAGGTTAGCAGGAAGAGCAGTTTCCTTTCATAAGAATTTTTCCATTAAAGTTAATCCCATTGCAACTAATATATAGTACAATATATATCTGTATTTAATAATTCTAGTGCTTGTAAGGAGAACTTGTTTTGATAAATGTAATTTCAGTAGCAACTTCTGGTGACAAGACTTCGTATATAATTCTTACTCTTCTGTTAATCTTCTGCCTTTAAAGGCAGATATTTCATTTCAAGTTTAAGTTGTTTTGCACTATTATGCAATAACTGAACATCTCAAAACTGATTTTATTAAGTCTGTCTTCATAACCATTAGAAAAATCCAATGTTGTGAAATTTTCTTTGATGTGTTTTTATGTAATTTTGGTATATTAATTTATCTTTAGTTTTTAACCCTGCCCTTATGTATAAAAATATTTCAGAAGCATATCCAATAATGTCAGAACAGATATGTATATTTTATACATATGTACATATATCTCAGTCTGCATAGCACACTCCTTCAGAAATCTTTTTCAGTGAAACTAGCTCCTTTGAACCAGTCATGTCACAGACTTGTTAATTTAAAAAGTGTTTACTCTTTTAGTGTTATGATATGTCAGGAGGTTCCTGCCTCTTTGGCTGTGGGAATGTGTTTCGGCTTGTCGTAAGTACAGTGCAGGTTCTGTGGGTCTTCCTGGAGTAAACTTCTCCTAAGTGCTTACCTACACAGTGTGACTGTCGGGAGCTGGATTTGATGACTCCTTATGCTCCCTTCCCATCTTTGCTTGAATCAAATAAGTTAATAGCAGTACATGAAGAAAAAGAATAAATACAAATTTCAATCCGATGTCTCAGCACTGCATAAGGAGTCTGATTTCCCAAATGCAGCCTCTGCCTTTTTCAGTGCTTCAGCAGCTATTTGTGTAAGGTCAGGTTCCAAGGGTTTTGCTAATCAGCAGGAGAGTTTCCTTTTGTTTCACTGAGTTACAGGTCAAGCCCATGGGCTTCCCTGGGATGTCTCTGAAACAGAAAAGGGGAAAGTAGTTTGGAAACTACTGCTGTTATAGACCCCGCTGGGCATTTGTAGCATGTTTCTTTCCATCATACTGCCTGTGGTGATCACTGGGAGCCAGGTGAGGCCCTGAATCCTATCCAGGATGCCACAACACCTCTGCAGTGTGAAGAAACCACCCGCTAAGTGTTTTGGTTTGGTGTGTGTTCAGAAGGTTGTCGTTAAAGAGGTGCCACCTATCAGTTGTATCATGCAGCAAATATGTTAGATTATGTAAAAATATTTTAAAAAGAATTCAGCAACATGGGATCAAGAAATAAGAAACTGAATAAATGTCTTTTTGGGGGCAGGGAGATGTAAATGCATCTCCAGCACCACAGTTCAATAGCCTTCTCTTACATTTATTTTTCTAACACATTTTCCAAAACAAACCTTTCTTAGAGTTGCTGCTGCAAACAGTCAGCATCATTGTAGTCTTTGCAAATAATAGAAGTTGTTACCTGTCCTCTAATAGATGGTTTGTGCTTAATTATTGTGCTTTCCAAAGCTCTTTGTTTGCTCAGTCTAGTAGTAAAGGAGAAAATTATGGGGTTTTTACCAATAATCTCTTTCCTTATGTTTATGGTTGTTTGAAGGGGAATTTTTACTGAATTTGTCCCAGTGACTGGTCACATTTCTCAGAATGATTTTTGGAGATTTCCACTCAATGTCAAAATCAAAACGCTTAAAAGCTATCTGGTTTTCACGGGTTGGCTGTTCTCCATTTTCTAAAACTCAAGCGTCTTTAGGACAGCCTGGAAATAGCACCCAAAGCCAGGATCCCTCAAAATCACTTCTGATAATCTTAGTCCGGCTTTAACGTGCTCTGCTGTCAAAAGGACTGGCTGCTGAACAGACACGTAAAACCCACTAGTGATAAGCAATAGCAGTACTGCTGCCAGGCTTCTGCCAGGGAATCTCATATGGAAGTATCTGCATGTGTGCTGTGTAGTATGTGCACAGTGAGTGATGCTTCAGGGAGCTGGTGAGCCTACGGAGCAGGGCTGTTCTTGTGTCTGCATGCTAAATCTGGTGCTTTGGGGATGTAACGTGCATTATGTGTTAGAGTTGACTTGCTCGTGCATTCTGTCAATGTAGGGGTTTTGGGCACAGGGCAGCCAAGTCAGAGCCACTGCTCTGGCAGTCTGCTCTTCACTCAGAAAATCTGGACATGCAGACAAGATCCTCAAAATCTACCAAGGCATCATTTTTCAATAGAGGAAAGAAAAGATGGGTCACCTAGGGAAGACCCAACTCTATGGTAACCTTATATAATAATTACAATTAAGCTTTATTTAGCTTGAACGGTTAAGAAATGCATTGGAATGGGATGGTATTTCCTTAGGGGTAAAGTGTGTGGCTCTGGTGGTTGCTGTTAGACTCCTACTCCTGTACTATCCTGATGCTTAGTCCTGTGGCATTCCATCACTGGGATTTGGAAATGGGGAAGTATCTGCTTCAGAGATACATTGGAGGATGTTTTTTCCAAGGACAGTTAGCTTGCTTACCTACATATTGCTGTATGATGAACCCAGTCAGAAGTGTACGTGAGACAACAGGATTCTCACCCTTCACTTTCTTGGGCAGTTGGTCATAGTGGCTGGAACACTGAAGAGCTTTTCCTCTATCCTTTGGTATCCCCAAATAAGTTTCTTCTCACAAAGAAACAAGCACCAACATACGTCCTGTCTCTTTTCCCTTTCTGTACTACAGCAGTGACTATATGCAGGATGCAGCATTTTTTTCTAATTCTTAATTTTCATATCTTTTTAATCATATTTTGAGTGATTTGTGGAGTAGAGGTTTTCATGCTTTCTGTTGACTACATCTGTGTTAGTACCAAGATTCTCAGTATGCTGAGCCTTCACAAAGAAGCATTGGAAATGAAGGTTGTTGCAAAATTTGTAACCATACAGGTTAATTTGCTAGATTCTAGTGTGGTTTTAAAAGCTCAAGCTCCTTGAAGCTGCAATTTCATCTTTAGGTAATTCTATCAAGGAAAGATTTGTAACCTCCCTCTCTCATGCCTGGTCACCATATGTTGTTGCTTCAAAGAATGTTGACTTCCCTATTTTCCTGTTCATTTACTCTCTCTGCATTTTTCTCCTCTGTGGTAAAACTGAATTAAAACAATTGGTCTATCCAAAAAGAAAAAAGAACATGCAGTGTGGTGAATTATTCCCCATTTCATCTTTTGGTTATTTAGTCTCTAGAATCTCAGGAAAGGGGAGAAAGTCTTCTGAATTTCTTCTTGCAATTTGGGTTATCTTTTCATTTGCCCCTACAAATGCTACACCTTTTTTCTCTTAGTGGTTTTTTTATGTTTTGATTGTTGTGTCTATGAACCGTAACACAGCCTGGCTGAGTCAAAGGAGACAGTGCTGTGTAAAATAGTATGACATAAGGATTTTTGAAATATACACTGTATTTTTGGGGTTTAGATTTTTGAAATATGTGCTGCATTGAATGAAATAACCTTAATATTGCTGGCTTAGATGGGTCGATTTATTGGTTCTAGCCATTCCTTTCAGGCTGAGCAGCAGGATCCTGGTTTTCTATGTGATTGTTTCTGTAGTAAAAATATAGCTTCCGGTTTAGCAAGCCAGCAATTCCTTCTCAGTAAAAATGTTCAATAAATAAATGTCAAAGTTTCCAGTATATCCTCGTTACTCTGCCTCACTTGTATGTAATTGAAAATGGGAAGAAGGTGCTGTTTGATTTGGCAGTCATCCAGCTCTTTTTTTTGGATAACCTACTCTTTGGGACAAAGCTGTACACCAGGGAACAGGATTATGGCCTTATAAAATTCTGCAGCCCACTGACTATTCCTTAATTGCATATTAAAGCAATTAATAAAATTACCTGTATGAAACCAGATTACCAGATTTATTTTGGATTTGCTGTTTTAACGTGGGTAATTGTTACTGGCCGATACAGAAGAGAAGAAACATCATATGATTTACTATAATACATTTTACTGGCAACTTTCTGTAATCAGCTTTCT